GGCCAGACTCTAGATCTGTGTCCCCTAAAACACTGATTGGATAGTGGGTCAGTCTGTTCACTAAAACACTGACTGGATAGTGGGCCAAAATGTCCCCTGAAACACTGACTGGATAGTGGGCCAATCTGTCCCCTGAAAAACTGACTGGATAGTGGGCCAGTCTGTCCCCTGAAAAACTGGCTGGATAATGGGCCAGTCTATCCCCTAAAACACTTGCTGGATAGTGGGTCAGTGTATCACCTAAAACACTTAAACAACTGACTGGATATTGGGCCAATCTGTCTCCTGAAACACTGACTGGATAGTGGGCCAGTCTGTCCCCTGAAAAACTGGCTGGATAATGGGCCAGTCTATCCCCTAAAACACTTGCTGGATAGTGGGTCAGTGTATCACCTAAAACACTGACTGAATAGTGGGGCAGTCTGTCCCCTAAATCCCTGGCTGGATAGTGGTCCAGTCTATCCCCTACAACACTGACTGAATAGTAGGCCAGTCTGTCCCCTAAAACACTGACTGGATAGTGGGCCATTCTGTCCCCTGAAAAACTGGCTGGATAATGGGCCAGTCTATCCCCTAAAACACTTGCTGGATAGTGGGGCAGTGTATCACCTAAAACACTGACTGAATAGTGGGCCAGTCTGTCCCCTAAAACACTGACTGGATAGTGGGCCATTCTGTCCCCTGAAAAACTGGCTGGATAATGGGCCAGTCTATCCCCTAAAACACTTGCTGGATAGTGGGTCAGGGTATCACCTAAAACACTGACTGAATAGTGGGCCAGTCTGTCCCCTAAACCACTGGCTGGATAGTGGTCCAGTCTATCCCCTAAAACACTGACTGAATAGTAGGCCAGTCTGTCCCCTAAAACACTGACTGAATAGTAGGCCAGTCTGTCCCCTAAAACACTGACTGAATAGTGGGCCAGTCTGTCCCCTAAAACACTGACTGGATAGTGGGCCATTCTGTCCCCTGAAACACTGACTGGATATAAAGTGGGCCAATCTGTCTCCTGAAACACTGACTGGATAGTAGGTCAATCTGTCTCCTGAAACACTGGCTGGATAGTGGGCCAATCTGTCTCCTGAAACACTGGCTACATATTGGGACAATTTGTTCCCTATACACCGGCTGGATAGTGAGACAATAGGATAAACGGTCGCCAGATAAATGACTCTTGATTTGACTTAAGTCTATATATATATAATGTAGCCATCTTGAATGTATTGATAAATGGGAGAGTAAAGCACACTAATCGGTGATTGAATATTGAAGGCATGTTTTAAAGTTTTTAACTGAACATTTGTCTTGTAACATATCTGTATAGATCTTACCCATCCTAGCTCATCGATCTGGCAAAACGCCAAATCAGATTATACCACAGTGCATTGTGTATTATCTTTTACTAAAGGTCAACAAACCATCTCAATGAATCATATTAGTAAAATCCTGTACTTCAAAGGATCATCTTGAATTCCTTTACATGTATAATATTTGAGTTTTTATCATTTTTTTGAAAATATACATTATACATTATAATTATACCGAAATAGAATGATAGCACACAATAAAGATGATCAGACTTATATGCCATTGTTGTCATCTGCTTCAGTCACTCGTAGCTCTCTCTTGGTGCCCCTTTCTCATTTCCTCAAGAGAGGCTCTGAAACGCGATCTTTTATTTCCCTGCCATGACATCAGTATGATACAATCAGATATATTGTATATCAGTTGATTTATATGTGATGCAAATTTCATGAATTTGTTCAAAAATGAAATTCCAACATTTCAATTTTCACATTTTACTTATAGTAAATGCATGTGATATTTTGGAATTGTTATATTTTGGAATATAACAATAAGTTTACTTTCTTGTTTTATCAATTTAATCATATTGCAAAAATATCTGATACGGGATACAATATTTTGTGATAAGTTACTGTTAAGCTAACCAGGCTTTTAAAATCTTTCCCAAGGTGTATCAAGCATCATTATCTCCAGGAAATGTTACCTTAGTAAGGTAATATTTTTATCTGTGATATTTATAAAATTATCGAAGCAGGTAAAATGTCAATGTATAAATTTCCTTGTATCTTAATTAATCTCCTTTAAGGTGTTAAACACCAGTAATCGTAGTTCTGCAGACGCTTCTGAAAAAAAAGGAATCTAAAATCTTGCATAACAAATCTGGATGCATCAAGGTATGGCTATACCTTGCTGACGATGCACTTTTCATAGTAAACATATAACAAGGACATAGCTCTATCCTCAATAGACAAATCTCCATAAGTACAGTTTTTGCTCCGATATTTGATATCCTTGGGGAACTTTAATGAATAAACTATATATAGCTAGTGCAGGTAAACTTTGACAGGTGCATGTGTATACTGGCAGGGATGTTAGGTATTTACTGATAGGTACACTCTCACAGGTATGATAGGTATTTACTGATGGGGACACTCTCACAGGTATATTTATGTATACAAGTGCATGTGTATACTGACAGGTATGATAGGGATTTACTGATAGATACACTCTCCCAGGGATATTTATGTATACAGGGGCATGTGTATACTGACAGGTATGATAGGTATTTACTGATAGGTACACTCTCACAGGTATGATAGGTATTTACTGATGGGTACACTCTCACAGGTATGATAGGTATTTACTGATGGGGACACTCTCACAGGTATATTTATGTATACAAGTGCATGTGTATACTGACAGGTATGATAGGTACTGATAGGGACACTCTCACAGGTATATTTATGTATACAAGTGCATGTGTATACTGACAGGTATGATAGTTACTGATAGGTACACTCTCACAGGTATATTTATGTATACAGGTGCATGTGTATACTGACAGGTATGATAGGTACTGATAGGTACACTCTCACAGGTATATTTATGTATACAGGTGCATGTGTATACTGGCAGGTATGATAGGTATTTACTTATAGATACACTCTCACAGGTATATTTATGTATACAGGTGCATGTGTATACTGACAGGTATGATAGGTATTTACTGATAGGTACACACTCACAGGTATATTTATGTATACAGGTGTAGTTTATGTGTATATAGATGTATTTTAAGTGTATGTTTAGAATTAAAATAAATATTGTTTGAACATTTTAATGTAGTTATAAATATTCATATCATTTTGTTATTTTTCAGTATATAGGATACATTTTTACGTTAGAGTCAGACAGAGGTATAATACAGACAGATATTCGTAGAGAGGTTTTTGTCTGCATTTGATTGATGAATGCAAGATCCTGTTCCTAATGGGAAATTTGTGTGTTATGAAGGTTCTTTGTTTGTAAGAGGGCCACGGTGGCTAATAGTGGTTAAAGCGTCTGACATGCTGCTACCACTAGCCCTCCACCACTGGGTCGCGGGTTCGAGACCTACATGGAGCAGTGACCAGGTACTGGCCGTAGGTCGGTGGTTTTTTCTGGGAACTCCGGCTTTCCTCCACCACCAAAACCTGGCATGTCCTTTAATGACCATAGCTGTTGAAAGGACATTAAACACAAACAAATCAAACAAATCTATGTGTGTCTGATGTTGTGAAGGGCCTGGGTGCTAATCTAATGATGGCCATTCTGAATAAAATAACTAAAATATAGAAGAACAGGTATACTGAAATCATTTGAACACATAAAACTCCACAATGACGTGGTGATCTCCTCCACTCTGTGATATACAGTGTGTAAGTATATATATTGGTCATAGTTCAGAAGGTTAATCAGTAAGACTTTACTTAATTCTGAACTCTTTGGTACACTACCTGTAACATTGGAGGATGTCCTGGAATCAGCTGGTCTGTCTGTCTGTCCTTTCATCCATAAACACACGGTAACTAGATGTTCAGGTTCTATCAGATTTCCTTTGTAGAGTTGATCATCACAATAATGTGTTGTTGTACAGTGTATCTGGCATACCGATTCAATAATTTTGGCAGTTATTGCCCCTTTATTGCAGTAGATACCAGTAATACAGTTTTGTTTGGAAAAGTGTTCATTGATAACTTTTCATTTAATTATACCCCCGCTTTGACGAAGTCTGGGGTATATAGTGTATGCTTCGTCCGTCGTCCTTGTGTCCGTTCGTCTGTGCGTCCATCCGTCCGAAAGGTTTCCGGAGCATATCTCCCGTACTATTTCACCTACGGTTATGAATCTTGGTTTGTGGGTACATGCATGGAAGGCGGAATGTCGCGTACCATATGTAGGTCGCTGTGACCTCTACCATGACCTCTGACCTACATAATCTCATCAGAAAGGTTTCCGGAGCATATCTCCCGTACTTTTTCACCTACGGTTATGAATCTTGGTTTGTGGGTAATTGCATGGAAGGCGGTGTGTCGCTTACCATATGTAGGTCACTGTGACCTCTACCGTGACCTCTGACCTACGTAACGTGAGCCTTGCAGCATATAAACTCTTCACTTGATTCTTCCTATCCACATGCCCATCACTCCCACCAATTCCTGATTAATCAAATCGGGGGTATTCACGAAGGCTCCCCTTCGAGAACATCTAGTTTCATTAATTTTGTTAGGGTTAGTCACCACCATTAATTTTGTTAGGGTTAGTCACCACCATTAATTTTGTTTGGGTCAGTCACCACCATTAATTTTGTTAGGGTCAGTCACCACCATTAATTTTGTTAGGGTTAGTCACCACCATTAATTTTGTTAGGGTTAGTCACCACCATTAATTTTGTTAGGGTGAGTCACCACCATTAATTTTGTTAGGGTTAGTCACCACCATAGATATGTGTATGTGTATGTCTATAAACATTCTGCTCCAATTATTTTTTTGAAGGAAGCTGATTAGCAGGGTGAATTTCAGTCAGACTTCAATTCACAGTTCTAGTATGAATGATGTGTGCTACTGATACATTGTTATATAATGTTTACTAATGTAACATTGTCTCCTTTGTAATACAATACTCGATACTAAATCTGTTTTTCTCTATTTTTCAGGATGTGTGCTATGTGTAATCGGGCTTTCGGTGACACCTCTTTCGTGCGATATCCCAATGGAGTTGTGACACACGTACATTGTGCTAAAAATAAACATGTGTGCCCTGTGACGGGTAAACTTTTCAGTACCAAACAATCCTGATAGTACTTACGTCATCACTGAACAATCCATATAGCAAAGTACCAGGAAAAACCTCGCAATCCACTAGTATCAAATTTCATTAGATTATGTAATTAATTATATGCTTAGTAAAAGGTTTCAAATTCAAATCTTTTGGGGAAAAAAGCAGAAATGTGATTATTTTTGTTTATATCATTTGAAGGTTATCATTTGAATGCCTAAACATGTATATTCTAAATTGCTTTTTTTAAGTGTTCATCGAGAAGAAGTATCTCAAATTTAAAATTTAGCTAAACATGTTCTACAAACTAGTGAAATTTGATACAAGCGAGTTCCTAATGTCACCCACAGTCGAGGTCTAAATCGAGGCCTAAATGAAATCATTGATAGAAGTTACTCTGCAGGAGAAATAGTGGTGGCCTCTGTATCCTCTCCGGCAAGTGAGGCTGGATTGATGTGAAATAGCCAGAGTCGGAATAAAGTGCAATAGATAAGACAGACTCGTTGTTCTGGTTCTGGTCCAAACCATAGGGGGAAATAGTTTTGACTGTTATCTGTAAAGATATCAAACTACTGGTGTTTTGCCTGATCAGTGAATATTAAATGCTTCCTTAGGTTACCTGTAATCAAGTTTCTGTAAACTGGGACAAACTGCATGATGTTGTCTGCGAACCTATTATAACTGTAATAGACAATATTTTATGAGACTAAATTTGATTACATGTCAGCCGTTCAGAGTTTGCTAGGCAAGAGTAAGAAATGTTGACCAGATGGTAGTATACTGTTATAGAATGGACACAAACACAAGGGAAATAGTCGTTTTATTGTCTCTGAAAGGCAAACTATTTCCCTGAAGACAAAGGATGAGGGAAATAGTTTGTCTTGAAGGGACAATAATATGACTGTAACCTGAAAGCTCAGCCTTTAACTGTTTTTATCATACATAAAAACTCGTCCTGTAGATTTTGCTTGAGTAGACTTTTCGCTATTGTTTGTAAACAAGGTGGTCTGCTGCAGGGAGGAAAACCTGGCTGAGGAGAACCAGAAGCATGTTTTACCTATGTTCGGAAATCCAAACATTAAATGTCTCATTACACTGTTACTAAGCACACAGGCGTTTTGAAAAAAATAGTATTCCAAGCCACAAGATGTTCAAAAAACTAATTGTGAGCCATATCTACTTTTAATTATTGTCAGCAGTTGTGTTCCGATCAGTTGATATCAAAATGGGGGGTCAAAGTCCAATACTAGCTCCGCCCTCCTCTCACCTGATTGGCTAAGTCCTTGCAGCATAATAACATTGAGCGGGCAGGGCGATTGGCATGTAATATTACTATAATGTATTGATTGGTTTGTTATGAGGGAAGTAGTCATGAAACTTTAGCCTGGTAAACTGAGCTATTTCCTTGGAAAATAACATGTATATCAATAGCATTAATGTTGTATACGTTTACTTTTAAAGGGACAAATACATGAAGGAGAAGTAATGTAAACTGTTGACTGGCATGGAATGATTTCTTTGTAATTTTCCTAGGAAGACAGTCAAGATTTTTAAGTAGAGATTCAGGTAATAACTAAAATTTTATGAAATTACAGTGTAACCATCAGAGCAGGATTTGACTGGAATGAAATATGCAGGGTCTAGTTTACAGGGGGTCCTGTTTATGCAGTCAGTGATTAAGGGCATCAATAATGTGTTTGTATATGTATGTTTAAATTAATATACTTTGAAATTTAGCGCAGATGTAAAAACAGAAAATAAAAAAAAAATCCTCAATTTTGATGCTTATTTTTAATCATTTACAATGAACGTCATCTAGTGGTGAATATTGCACCCAGAAAGAACACATTTTGCGGGAATAACCAACACAGAAAAATAGAACTACTGGAATGAACATAGTAATAATGATTTTTTCATCTTTAAGTCGACATGCATGCTACAATGCATAGCCCTTTCAACAAGAATCGGAGACCGATTGGAAAAAAAGAAATGTCCGTCAGGCAGCCATATTGGATTTATATAGTTATTTCTCAAATTCAACAAGTACCGGCTAAGTGAGGTTCCTCTTGGTAATTAAATGTGTATACAATTTTCAGACTGTTTGAAAGAACAAGATGGCTTCTTTAGGTGGGCAGTTCTGAATTTGACTGTGTAAGTTCTCATCCCTCAGAGATTACGTTTAGAGAGCTTTTTTCCAATTTTTAATCTGGTTCACCTTGATCCAAAAGTTGTGCATGTTCTATTTTGGAACTAATTACAAGAACAAGATCGATGTCAACTTTTAATTTTATTTTCATTATTTCTCAGGAAGTACTTTTTTCAAGCATCATTCCAGTAAATGGGTCTACATGGTGATATTCCATTTGTTGTGACCCAATCTTCATCCTCCGTCAACATTTTCACATCTTCTCCAAAAGCAAAGCGCCATTATCTTCAGTAAGATTCATCAGTTTGGAAGTATGTAGTATCCAAGTTTTACTTGATAAACAAATAATTTAGGTATTAAACGTGTTGCAAAGTTTCAAGTCCGACTGGTCCCTTTGTCAAGCTATGACTGAGTGAGCGATTTGTATTGTCTACCTGTACAACGATGTGACAAAATTGTATATTTAATTTGTTAATCAACCCTGGACATTAGATCGATAGAAAGTGTATACACTTTAATTTGTATCCAATGGCTACTGGTAGGGTGTAGATCTAGCACCCTCTTCTGTTGGGTCAGTATCGGGTCATACAGATGACTCAGATGGTGTCCCCCCTCGTCTCTGTTTGTTTTGAGTTTTCCACAGCACCCAATTCAACTCAATGTGGATAGGACTATCCTTGGCAAACAAGAATCAGGAGCTGTAAAAATGAGGACTCCGATACCCTGGGACCAGGTACAATTTAAAAAATACAAGACAAGAAAATTGGGCTTTATTTTTATGGTTTATTTGTACCAAAATATAACATTTTGTTCCTGGAATATATCTGGTGTGTTCACACAAGATTATAACCGTACACATATATTGTATATAGATATAGTAGACTGTATAACAGATGTCTTCTATTTACATTCATCACAGTAGTTCTTTTACAAAATACTTCAATGAAAAAGCTATCATTTCTAAATTTTCATAAATTCATAACTGAAAGAAAGTCAAAATCTACCAGGAATATTTTCTTCACAAAACGAATACGATGAGAAACAATGATTTTCTGGCTCTACATGAATAATTTGTCAACGTTAGCTTTTTTTTCCTTCTTGAGGAACAAATCACATAAACGATATTAAATTACCAGGTAATGTACTTCAAAATTAATTATGTAAATATAATATAAAGGATGCTCTGGTCCATATTCAACCCCGACAACAATAGTTGTCTATAAAGCACAGTATGCTAAGCACAGGTTAACGGTACATACCACTGTACAGTCAACAATTCAATGTATAATTACCAATCTTTACAGGTCGAAAAGTTCGCAAAGTTGTTCCCGGATTTTTTTCACCAGGTTTTAAGTTCATCTAGAGTAAAAACTTCATAAAATTAAGGAAATTGATGATGCTACAATCCTGACAGTCAGAAGTGTGGTATATCTGTTATTGTCATACCTGGATGGATGTTGTGATGTTTTAGCATTCAACAAGAATTTGCAATTTGTTATGAAAATAAACCAAATCAAACCTGGTGTAAAAATTAGCAATAATACAGTGAAGCAGTCTGTACAGAGCTGATACTCATCAAAAACAATAATGTCTCATGATTCCAGCACACAACCTTCGACGGAGCACGAACAATGCATCCACTGATTAAATATACAATCACATTTTACTTGGACGAAGTTCTGTGAGATAAGTATGCAATATATACAAGTGAAAACTTAATATTTGTTACACATGATTACACCGATGTAAAAGCGGAACAATTATTGCTGTAATATTGAGATATGGCGATGAAATACACAGAAAACCTGATTGTAACAAAACTCTGATGTGATCATGACTACAAATAGCGGATTAGTTCCCCAATTCACTCCGACTTGCTGGGTTATTATGTCCGAGTTTATCTTGACTTTTAAGTTGTACCTATGATAACGGTATGTAGAACAGCTATATTTCACACCTATTTTATCTTGCAAACTGACCTTTTTTCACCTATCTCCTTCGACATCTATCCACAATTCTCTTAGCATGTCTCTTATTGATATGGAAATAATTGTTAAACACTTGAATTTGTGAATGTCGCCCAATAAAAACGAAGTTGAATCAAATATGTAAAATATAATTCTCGATTGTCCAAGTTCTGATTAAAATGGTTTACCAGTAAATTGTGTTTACTACACTGAAGTAAATAACTAAACTAGCCTTTTATCGAATTCCACAAAAAAATTTTTTTTTGGCAAATTCATCAAGTGTGTGTCTCTCCAAAATACAATATTAATTGTTACACTATTAGCCTTTCCGTTCGTCTAATTACTATGTCCGTCCTGAATAGGTGTGTATGTAAAAAGATGACGAGTGCAGAGTAATCGGTATCACTGTACTGGGGATACGACTTGTGGAGGAAGAAATTAGATATTTAACTACATCTACACACAGTTTAATGGACTTGTCGATTTAGTCGGTACATGCATGCAACACATGAGTGGAAAAGACTTTTATAAATCTGGAATGTACAGTACAATGTACTTCATGTACTATCAAAATTGATTTGACCAAAACACTACCAGGTATTTGAACACATGTCTTTCACATTCAAAATGATTTTGTTGAAATGATCAAAACAAATTAATCTATGGCAAATAAGTGGCATAATATGTCCCGATACTCACAGTAGTTAGTTAGCAACTGTCCGTGGGTTTAATTTCTGTCCAGCATTTTATCAAAAATTAAAATCAAATGTTACAAGTGACATGTGTGAGGCATATAACCTTGTGCTGTGATTGGTATATATATATATCCTGTGCTTTACCAGTATCAATGTCTATATATAGCAAACATCAATAGCTTTTTTAATCTAAAATCAACTATATTAATACTCCAGGGTATAGTATATAAACTGTTAATGATATAACTGTGTACAGGAGTAAATATAGAACTACGTGCAGGCAGTGCCCCGCTTCACCTGTGTTTTTATCGTTTCTGAGATTTTTAAGCAGACATTAGATGTTTTTCTCACAAATCACACATCAATTTCTTTTGATTGCCAGGACATTGACAAAAACTTATCAGGAAAACTGCTGCTTTAAATACAAAGATAAATCTGTATTTTCGATTGCTAGCATAAACTAGATCAAGCCTCATTTTCCTCAAACATTATCATTGACTTCACGAGCTTCATTTACTAGTTGTACAGTATAAAGCTATATTATTTCAAATGGGATTTATGTTAGATTTGTTTAGTGTTGTCCTTGGACATCTCGGGGGAAGAATTGACTGAATAATAGATGTCTGCTCTCAAGAATTGAGAAAAACAGATGAAGCGGGATAGACTACAATGTATATCAACAAACATGACAAGAAAATGAGACAACTTTTGCATTTTTAAACAATGATAAAAATGACCTTGAAAAAATACAATATATTAACCAAGTATGGCTGTCGACAAATATCTGTAGATTGGTAGTGTTTGAATGAAAGCATTAATATGTGTGGACGTTAAGACAACCTTGTTATTTACATTCATATGACACTGGTTATAAGAATGACCCTACCGTACAAAAATTAGCAATCATTTCAACCAAATACAGAGTAAAAAAAAATGCCATAGAAGTTATAAATGGCAATCTAACAGCTGGTCAAGGTATAGATCATAAGGATTATGTAAATAAGTATACAAAACTATCCATAACTATCCAAGTAATTTTGTTATAATATCCCACTAACCAAGTTTGAATGTTATCACAACGACTTCGCCATCACCGCTTACAATTCACCTGAGGCGTGATTATGACTTCCAGGATCAGCACATACATTGTCACCTGGGCGTAGTACATGTATCATCCTTAGTAAACACTGAGACACATCTATAATAGTCATTTAAATTCAAACATTTTTCACAAGAATTTATCATAGCATGTCCTATAATTACATACACTACACAATAATCTGATATTTGGCATTAACATAATGAGCATTGCTATAAAGACTCTGGGATTTTCTTTTATATGTGGCCTGTCCAAATCTCATCTCGCCCAGACTACAGGGCCAAACCTAATGATCAGTTTTAACCTCAGCTCGGCTGGACTACAGGACTAAATGTTTCTTTTTACTGGCCAGTCCCTACCTCGGCCAGACCACAGGACTGAAACTCCTATAATCACTAACCTGTAACAACTTTATTTCGGTTAGAAAACAGGGCCAAAATCTTCTCCCAGATCTGCTGGTGTGCAGATTAAACAGAAAAAACTATAGTGTGTGACTGAGAATGATTCTTTTTCCTGGTTTTAATGCATAATCATGACACTGAAAATAACCTCAGATCAATGTATAAATGAAATGCTTCCGTTTGTGACGGTCCACAAATGCTGTTAAAAGTAAAGTTACTTGATATTAGGAGCTGCTGTTGTTGGAATGTACCCGAATTTGGTTCCTACAACCAAATACTGGCAGTCTAGGTCAACAAGTTGGTCCATGCTTAATGTAACCGATCATGACTTCTCATTGGTTACAGTAAAAGCAAGCTGAAGTTACGTTGAGGAATAGATCCATTTCCTATCTCATTTCCTAAGTACCTCATTACAGGCAAGACACTTTATTTTGAAAATTATATCCTACCACAAATTCCACATAGAGCGAAGGTTGATGTTCTGATTATAAGCCAAAAAAAAATACTTCAGGATCTGCATAATACACAAGGAAACCAGTATCTTATGGAGAAGATGCCATGATGTTGTCAACTGAATAAATTAGCACTATAACGCTTTGAAGGTAAACAGGAACAGGACAAAACGCATATGAAATTTCCCAGAAGAGTGGGTTAACAGAATGTTTGCCATGTGTTTGTTACGCTTTCATCTTCATTTTACCCTATACCCAATCTTCAGAACATGCATGTGTTTTTCCACAACAATTGGTAACGTACATTGGGTAAAACTAACAAAGCACTATGACGAAGCACAGTAAAATGGGGTTTACGATTTGTAAACTGGACACATCTATGGTCGAGCTTAAATGTATGTGTTGCCCTCGACTCCATTACACAACCGTACTGTAGACTACATGTATTTCATGTGGTGTTCATTGCTAGTGTTAATTCACATTAGGGATTGAACATAAATTCAAGAATCGGGAAAACATATTTATAAATGAAGTGCATATTACTGTCCTTCCAAAATAAGTGCAGAAATAATTGGTTCACGAAATTGGGTGTTCACAGAATATACAGAATTGTACATGTACATTACCTGCAAATACCCAGATTCTATTTCAAACATCATGACCATCTTTGCCTTAAGGATGAACTGCAATAGGAAATGGATCTATTTTTCTATGTACAAGGATTAAGTATGAATATTAGGCAATGTTAATGTTCTTAGCCGTACAGAATGGTGATGGATGTAGACAAAAATGTCGTAAAACATGGCATAAAGGATTCATCTACCGATACAACATTCAACCGAGAGTTGGTCATTTTCTGACAATACCTGTCCCGATTCAGCCTAGCTTCACCAAGAGTCTATCCAGCAGTTCATGTGAATACTAAGTATAAGGTGTTATCACAACGCCTGAAATCTATATTTGGTACCAAAGGTCATACATGGCACCAAGGGCCATACATAACTCCGTAAATTTTACTTAAGGTCATACAGAAATCCATAAATCTTACCATAGCCGTACAAAAATTCTGTCAATCTTACAATTATTAGTCATACATGTACAGAAATCCATACATTCGATACAGGAAACTGTAAATCTTGCTGTATACACCTACATCATACTAGTATGTACAACATCTGTAATGCAGACTTTGACCACAAAGAAACATATAACTATACTTGTATGAAATACATACAAACTGACAAATGTGACTGACGTACACCTACGTCCAATACAGCAACACCTATATACATTACGTCAGATACAGCAAAAATTCTACCTCACCATTACAGCTTTAATTCCTGTTCACCATGCGACAGATACAGCAAATATTACAGCTTTTATTTCTGTACACCTCACATCAGATACAGCAAGATTACAGCTTTCTGTATAGCACACATCAGAATACAGTAAGATTCATGTCTTTCTGTACACCTTACGTCTAACACAGTAAGGCCTACAGCTCACTTTAGACACAGTCTAGATCTGTTTATAAAGTGATCACAGTTTCTGGAAGGCCTCTAGCTTGGACTGGAAGGACATCTTGTTGTGTTTGGGGTCGGTCTTTTTCTTGCGAGCAAGCATCTCCCTCATCTCTTTGGCAGACATTTGGAGGCCCTGGGACAGGTCGGCAGGTTTGCCGTTAGTCTGGGGTGGAGCGGAGTTCACTGATGGGGTGGGAGCCATTTGTCGTTGTGGCTGAGACTACAATTACAAAATAACTTATAAGTATAGGGTTTAACGTCCTATCAACAGCTAAGCTCATTTAGGATGTTAACTTATAAGTACTTGAAAGATTTACCATTCTATGACATTGCCATTATATAACTCTATCAAATTGGAGTATTGTGATAAATATATTTCTTTTGTATATGACTCTTTAATAAAGTAAATTTGCAAGCTATGTATACTGAAAGTAAGAAATTCCAAACAATTTTTTATTGAAACTCTTCTTTGTTGAAGATACCTAGTGTACAGTGTGCGGGGACTCTTTAAGTTCACCTAAACAGTACTGCAGATTTAATGAAGTTTGTATACATGTATTTGAATTTTATGTAATTGAACATGACAATATAAATTAACTGGAAGATTCTGGCATTAATTTTTCTATGGGTAAAATACACTAATGTTATGAACTTGATGGACTGTATAATGCCACTTTTCTTGAAAACATACAACTTTACTTTTCCCCCATTCATGTTCAAAAGCTCTTTACAAAAGGCAGAAAGATGGATATCTTTGGAATAAACATGTACATATTTTTTCACTGTGAGGTATATACATTTTTAATTTTTAAAACAAATGATTTTTTGTTAAGTCATTTGGAAACCTGTGACATTGTATCATGATCTTTCATTAAAAGAATATCAAAACTAGAAAATGTCTGTAAGACATGATCAATGCCATGTGAAATTATATTAGTTTCCGTGTTTGATGTTCTATAAATAGTTACAATCACTTTGATCACAGGATGGGGCGGGATACGATATGGACATTGGCAACACTACCGATATATGCACCCCCCCCCCCACACACACACACACATTTTATGGTGGGTGGCATAAAAATAAATTTATACTTACAATTTCTGCCTGTCCATTGACTGGGGCAACTGTAACAAAAAAAAAAGGTCATGATCAGCCAAAGATATTCTTGTATCACTATTTATTTAACTACTTTTCATTCAAGTGAGGTTCAACCAAATCAATGCAAGCTGAAAAGGAAACATTGAGACGATCGAGTTTCATAAACCTGTTATCACTAGTCTTCAATGCCACTGTCTTACTACCATCTCTAGTCATCAATGTGACATCACAATTCCATGACATCAGATCTTTTGTCTTAATTCTAACCTACAATATTGTATAAGGACATACATGTATAAGAAGGTGTGTGCGAAAATATAACATGGGTGAGTTGCCTGCATAACACGGTGGCTCGTCACGTGATACCTGCATAACACGGTGGCTCGTCACGTGATACCTGCATAACACGGTGGCTCGTCACGTGATACCTGCATAACACGGTGGCTCGTCACGTGATACCTGCATAACACGGTGGCTCGTCACGTGATACCTGCATAACACGGTGGCTCGTCACGTGATACCTGCATAACACGGTGGCTCGTCACGTGATACCTGCATAACACAGTGGCTCGTCACGTGATACCTGTATAACACGGTGGCTCGTCACGTGATACCTGCATAACACGGTGGCTCGTCACGTGATACCTGCATAACACGGTGGCTTGTCACGTGATACATGTATAACACGGTGGCTCGTCACGTGATACCTGCATAACACGGTGGCTCGTCACTTGATACCTGCATAACACGCTAGCTCGTCACGTGATACCTGCATAACACGGTGGCTCGTCACGTGATACCTGCATAACAAAGTAGCTCGTTACGTGATAAATTATTATAACACTAACCTGTAATACAGTGACACCTTCTGTGTGTAGATATTAAATGTATATTTAGATTTATTACATATGTGCTGTCCATTTATCTGCACAGATGTTCCCAGTTTACATTATTTGTACATTACATATCAAACACACTGAATAAATACAGTATATCTGATCATGACAAGTCTTGGAGCATGTAAAAATTATTTTACAATCCGCTTTTGCACATTTATTGTATGTTACATGTATACATGTTGCATGTACACTGATGTAAAATGTGTTGAACTTACGGACATGTGTGTACCGTAAACCGATTTGATAAACCCCAACCAGATATTATGTTCTCTTGACCATGACTTCCAGGCCAAGGTCGCGAGTTGATATCAGAAGTTGCTTGTTCTGAACAAGATTAATTTTCAATAAATATTCAAAGACATGTGGGTAAAGATTGATTGTTCACTGTGAATACTGATTGTAGGAAAACGATCTCTTTATCACTAGAAAGAAAAGAATCTTTCAAAGCTTTCAAGTCTAACAAGCTGTAGTAATTAAATGAAGCTTCAGTTTCCTGTCCGACTGCGATTCTTTAACAGCATGTGTATTCATGGTATCCTGCAGCTAGACCTGTGGGTCAGGGATATGTAGCAAGTGGTAAATAAATGGACATATCTATATATACCAGAAAATTGCTGACACAGAAATGTCTCCATCCTGGTCATGTGTTGGTTGTTAACCTACACAGTAAACCGTTATCTGTATACACCTGGTAATAAATGGGATCCTGTACATGTCTACCTGATAAGGATATAGCCACACCTGTAAATTTCTAGTCTACATGTACACATGTGTACCTGATAAGTTATAGCCACTCCTGTATAAATATATATTTCCTAGCGGTCCATGCGTGTGCAACATGTAAATGTGCAATGTTGGGAAACGCTTTGAATTCAAGATTGATCATCACCATTTTTAAACGATCCACGCGTATGATTGAACATGATATTTGATTGATCACAAACTGTAAGGGTAACAAGTAATTTAATGATGGAATCAACAAAATGGATAAAATAAATGCTTTTGAACACCTTACTATATATTAAAAAAACATTGCAATGCAGTTGATGGTAATATTTCCTCTTATCAATGGCTCCAAACCATAATCAAAACCATAGAAAACTAGAACACTGACAGGTCAGTAAGGGCCCCGTCTTGTGGCAATATATCCCCCATAATCATCAAGAAGCGATCTGCCCATATGGCTGAGCTTGAAGTTTGACATTTGGACTTCAAAAAGAATCGCAAGGAAGCAAAATATACATTTTACATGTACTATGATGTGAGTCTAGTTTCCTTCCACCTCCATATTTGCTGGGCTAACAGAAATGTAAATACCAGTGCAACACTCATTTGTTAGCTTTGATTTGTTTTATTTCACCTTATAAACCTCCTCCATCAAGAGCCAGGGTCAAAGTCAGAGATCAACTTTGCCTTTGACCTTTGGACCCAAATGACCTTGACCATTAACCCAGTGACCCTGATCTTTGGTCAGTTGACTTATTCTTGAATTCAGACCAACATTGCTTCATAATGTCATAACAAAATGTTCATCAGTGAAAAATACAAAACTTGACCTTGACCCTTTGGACCCCGTGACCTGGACCTTTGGTCAATTGACTCTTTTTTTTTAATTCTAAGCAACATTGCTATAAAGTGTCATAGCGAAATGTTCACTAGTGAAAAGATACAAAATTTAACCTTGACCTTTGACCCAATGACCTTGACCTTTGGTCAGTCGACTCCTTGTTTAATTCTGATCAACTTTGCTTCATTATGTCATAACAAAATGTTCATCAGTGAAAAGATGCAAAATTTGACCTTGACCTTTGAATCTAATGACCTTGACTTTTTTTTACCTCAGTGCGTCTCTTTGTTTAAATCCGAACAACTTTGCTTCATAATGTCATAGCAAATGTTCACCAGTGAAAAGCTTCAAAATTTGACCTTGACCCCTGACCCGATGACCTTGACCTTAGGTCAGTTGACTCCTTGTTTAATTCTGATCAACTTTGCTTCATAATGTCATAACAAAATGTTCATCAGTGAAAAGATGTAAAATTTGACCTTGACCTTTGAACCTAATGACCTTGACCTTTGACCTTGACTTTTTACCTCAATGCATATTTTTGTGAACTGAACATCTTGACCAAGTTTCATGTACATCGGTCCATAGATACCAAAGTTATCAGCCAGGAACAAAATTTGTGGACGGACAGACGGACAGACAGACAGACAGACAGACAGACAGACAGAGTGATTACTATAGGGCACCCGTATCTCCGATACGGGGCCCTAATGATGACCTCATGATCGATAAGTTATAGTCAGAGTTAAAAAGACTGGACATCAAATAAATCAATTAACCAGAACAAAACTGTATTAGGATAAAACAGACCAATACTATGGTAACATACGAATGTAATGTACATTTATAACCTGGAGATAATTAGCTCAAGTGAGAAAAAACAGGTCTCCCATCATATTTGCTGTTTTACTTCAAAGTTTTCATCAACACATATATTTAATGGTTTTAAAGATATACATGTATGTACACTAGCTCGACAGATGACTTTTGACCTTGACCAAATTTGAGGCAGAAAGTTTACTTCAGCTCACAATGGCAGGGAGAACATTTACTTTGCACAACATTATGGACAACATTATGGACCAAGAATATTTAAGACCAAACAAAATGTATCCTAAGGTTGATCCCATAGTCAGAACTATCTTCTGGAGTATTGTTATCTAATGAGAGACTTTTTCAGACAAGTTTACATGTGTTAACATACTGGTACTATAATATAATGTACTTTTAGTTTATATCTCACATCAGTTTTAATACTTATTTGAAACTAACAACTAGTCAGTGGGGTTTTTTTGCTCAGTTTTACAGTCGATTAAGGCTGTATTTTCCCAAAATGACCAAAAATATATTCCCAATCCATAAAGGAGCAGTCACTGTTGTAAAATTGAGGTTAAAAATACACTCAACACCAAATTACGTTTAATTTATTATTCTTCATTTACTTTATAATTTACAGGAAAAAAATATCACGTATACATTTAGAATTTTAATGATGCTTTGAAAATAGTGAATTTATCTAGACAAATTCGGGAAATTTTAGGTTGGTGAGTGTTGATGGTATGTTTTACACTTGATAGAAACCTGAAATGTAATTATTTCGTGTGGACCAATCTTTAACATTAGCCCAGTTAGACTTGAGAAACCTGTTTATTTGGTGGTTTGATTGTACAGCTGATAGTCATGGTCAGATAGCCAGGGAATAGCACATACACATTCCGAGCTGGATTTTGTACCAGTCGGCATGGACACATTAACAAGAATTCAGATTAAGTAGCAAATAACTTATCCTGCCTTGAAAGCTTATCTGTAAACAGGCTTACTTATATTACAATGTGCAAGGTACATATTGTCTACACAGAAGATTCCCATCAAAAACAGGTCACAATTTCCAAACATTATAATACTATTTATATTTACTCTCTTTATTCCAAATTTGTCAATATTACTAACCCCTTAAGTCATTCATCCCTTAAGTTTCATAATGAACTGTTCCAACTTTTGAATTTGAAGAGTTCAAATGTGTCTTCAGGGGTGAATAAGTTAAGTAGCTTTTAACTTTATAAGAACTTCATATTTAGCAAAATTTAAGTTCAGCTATAGCAGCTGGAAGTCATTTGACCTTTGACCTAAATTTGAAATCATAACCTTGTCATGATCAGTGGGTCACATTATTACCACTCGCACACCACCTGGTGATGTTAATGGTATAGAGTAAACTGTGTCAGGGTATGAGATTTAGTATAATACTAGATGTAGGTGTACAACTAGGAAATTTGTTAACTTATCTCCGAAATACAAAAAATAGAGACGTCAAACAAGTTTCCATGATTTATATATATGCCTGACTGAAAAGGAACGAGTTTGGAACCTTTTATTGTCATGTGCATAAAATTATATTTATTTACACTCATCATCAACCAAACAAAACTGTATAACATGTCAATGCATAACATATCGTAAATCAACAGTAAACATTTGACATGTTTTGACATCATTGTATGGTTCCTTTCACCATTACATGAGAAATTGGCGATCTTTGACGTTACCAATGAACGATTTACAAAACAGAGTTGTTAAATTAAATGCAGCAGAATGATGGAGTATTCATAAATTCCAATAATAATAATAAATGCTATCAAATAATACTGACATGCTACCTAGTTTTGGTGTTAACAGAGTATAAAGGGCAGCACTGAAAACAAGACTCATCCTAATGTTTTTCGTTGTTCCTGATTTTTAAGATGGCCCCCTCATACATGTGAATTGTTCCAATTAATTTAGACCAACTGTTCATTTTCAAACACTAATGCTAGAAACTACATGTATATGGTTTAAAAATTACAACAGGTCCATGTCTCTACATTGCCCACATGTCTCTAGATTGCCCACATGTCTTTGAATATTTATTGAAAATTAATCTTGTTCAGAACAAGCAACTTCTGATTTCAACTCGCGACCTTGACCTGGAAGTCATGGTCAAGAAAACGTAACATCTGGTTGGGGTTTATCAAATCGGGTTACGATACACACATGTCCGTAAGAAAAAAAAGATTACACATGAATATCTGCACTAAAGTGTGACCATTAAGACACTTTAACGAATGCTATACCGTTTATAAATATATAATGAGTACACTACCTGTGTGATGAGGTCATATTGTTATATTTACATATAGCCCGGAGACATGGAGTCTAGGCTGCAGACTGACAGAGCTGTTGTTCATCTAGTCCATGCCCGAGGCTCACAATGTTAACACTATCGCCAATTCTGACCTTGTGAGTGTTTTGTCACATTATACCATATTGTATATGTTAATATTCTCCTATAAATATACACAATAACTGGCCAATTGACTCATCATCAGTGTATACTGGTACCTATCCCCCTTTACCAGTGTATAGTACGTATAAATGTAACTTAAACAACGTCTTATTTCCCTCGATCTCTGTAAAGAGGATAATTTATCCCCCTAACAGCAAGTATAATATATTAGCATCCGACACTATTGGTGTCATCATAATTATACAGAAATATAACACTATGTTTCTTATATTTGGGGCCCATGCACATCTTTTATTCCATCTGATAACTTACACTGTATAAGGCTAGCTAGGGACAGTGTATAGCTGTCGGTCAATACTGGTGAATTATATATATGTTACATGCCATTACATTGTTACACCTGGGACCTGACCCGGACACAGATCAGACTATATTACATTGTATTCGATCACACAACATTTATATTATGGAACAATTACCTAACAGTAAATAATTGACAACCTAAGGACTTATAATCTTCTTTGCTTAAGCTGGAAAAATTTGAATTTGGACATATCACATCGCTATCAAATCAAACTTTCCATATAACTGACCACTGGATGACCACTACATGTATAAGTATACCTGCTGTGGATGACTGATTATGGACTGGCTGAAGTAAACATGTACATACCACAGGTGTTGAGATATATATCACAGCTGTGTAGCTACATATATATATAGCCACACATTTATCACAGTACTGTTGCTTAATTTTAATAGCCACAAGCCAATGCATTGTTATTGTGTTGGAATCCACTTTCCTAGATCAATACAAACTGTATTGACTACATTTATCTGACCTATAGATAAGTAGCAGGATGGTAGCAGTACAATGATCATGAAGAATTTCGGCCTACAAACATACACAGACTGAATGGATTTTTTTCAAATATTACATGAAGCCTTCTAGAGTTACATTCATTTATATTTTAGCATACTTCATTTCGGCAAGAATATTTCAAAAATTAATTTTCTGACACACACATGTATGTATATAGTATATTTGCATTGTATATACAGCTATTACTGCCCAAATAAAGTGAGAGCACTAGTACTACTAAAACATCATTAGACAGAGTTGTTCCTTAGGTTTCGTTCTTTTATAATTAATGGTTATCAAGCAACTTCTATGCACTTTTATCAATCATACAAATATATGACTTTCAAAGCATACACTAATGGAAGAAATTTAATGATTTAAATTTAATAATGAACCAATTATATTGATCATGGCATTTGTAATCGATAATCGGAATTGGAAAGGGTAAACTGATTGATTTTTTAATTATAATAATCGATCATCAGCCCATCATTAGTCACAGGAAATACATTTCCTTGGGTTATTAATGGTCGCTTGCAACATAAATGTAAATATAAAGCAGTTCTTTGATGCCAATTCATTGATACTACTGTAAATGGGAATTATATATTTTATGATACATTTGTACTTATCAAAATTGAATTTTGTTCATCTATCTGTCTTTTACATTATATTCATGTCTTGCATTTGTCGGGCATCTTTTGAACGCTTGTTGCATTCTTTATCTTACTTTTTCACCATTATTAGCAGAATAAGAGAGTCTTACCTCTGTCTTCAGTCTTCAAGTTTTGGAGTTGTGACATTGAGCCCGAAACTTTTATTCCTCGTGACTTGAACGACTGATCGGCTGCCTGATCTACCACAAGAAGTCTTGTTTCATTACCACCAGCTTTAACGTAACCTATCACAGCTTGGTGGGATTCTGCTTCTACGTTTATTCCATTGACTTCCACAATTCTATCTCCTTCTTTTAATCCTGCACTTTGCGCCGGGGATCCATCGTCTATTTTACCAATAAACTGTCCATGAGTTTTGTCCTTGTCTGCGTGTAAGTTGAAACCGTAACCCTGGAAATGTGGCCACTTAAAAATGTGACATAGCCTCGCCCTGGCTCCATCGTCGCTGTTTGAAGATCTAGAGTTCACGCTGGGGACCTCATTCTCCTTATTTGCATGGACTTCTACAAAAATGTAAGGATACTCTTTGACAATGGAACATTATTCAATGAAGCAGATCTAGTTAGACATTCTGTGGGAAACAACATACTGATCACATGTGACGTCAGAACATTCTGGTCTTAATTGATAGTTTTCATAAGAAACACGTACAGGATCACAGTATCATCTTGGATAATACAAGATGTCTGATACTCAAGGGTCAGGTTAGACAGGTTTCACTGAATCTCAGCTGTTTACAAAAGAATCTTATTGTACTGTTTGTCATTCACAGCGACACAGAAATACATGTCTTTCAAAGTAACAAAATAGATATTACTTTATTGATATTACTTTTACATCTATGTCTCATCTCCCCCAGTAAATATAAATTACTTAATATTTTAGTATTACTTTTACTATATGGTAAGATGTTTTAAGGAAGGGAAATATATTTACATATAATTAAGACTACATGTATATAGATAAAAATCAAACATTATACTAAAATTATGCAGAAAAACAGTGATTTTGTTATATTTGAACAATTTGTTATGCTTGTTGTGTGCATGTGTTGTAGAAAAAACTTACCGCTGCGATCCGACTTTTTATATCGGACCTCCTCCAGACCTTTGTGGATCCGGATTCCTCGGGACTTGTAGTACTCGTCGGTCTCTGAGTCGACCACTAACATCTGAGTCTCATCTCCCCCCACCTTTACTTTACGGATGACTTCCTGGTGGGATACCTCCTCTATGTTATCTCCATTCACCTCTACGATCCTGTCGCCCTCCTTCAGGCCTGCCGTCTGAGCCGGTGAAGCATCGTCCACTGTCCCAATAAACTGGCCAGTGCGGTCCCTTTCTGCATGCAAGTTAAAGCCATAGCCAACGAATTCGGGCCACTTGACCATGTGACACAGTCGAGGGTAGAGCTGCGACGGTGTCTCCTCCACAACCTCATTCACCACTACTGGCACACTGACCTCTGGTTCCGGCTCTGGTACCAATTCCTCCTCCTCCCTCTCGGGCTCAGCAGCAGCCTCCTCCTCCCTCTCGGGCTCTGCAGCAGCCTCCTCCTGTTCCTCCTCATCCTCAGGAGGGGGAACCATGTAAGGTGGAACAGTTTCGTAGTCACTGATTATAGACTCAGGCTCAGGCTCAGGCTCAGGCTCAGGCTCCGGTACAGGTTCAGGGTCCTGTTCAGCCTCTGGTTCAGGCTCATCTTCTGGTTCTGGAAAAGAAATTAAAACAAAATCTCAAACTAAAACTTCTAATTAAGCTGTCTACAAAACGGACATTACTTTTTGGGGAGATGTTTCTATGCATGGTATATACAGTGGAACCCGCTTATTATGATATTCTATTTGCCAGAGATAATTGTCATGATAACCGATATATCATAATAACCGAACAAGCTGTTTAAGATCATTTTAATGTTGTCTGAACTGGAAGTGAGATGTCCTATATTAATAGATTGATGTGGAAACATGGAAAAATATAAATACAAACTGATAAAATAATAATTGAAACAATTTGTTCATGTTATTTATATCAGCGTAATGATCAGTATGTAAATTCTATTTTCATTTTCAAATAACTTGTAGCAAACGATATCGTAATTTTACAGTCAATAGCTTAGGATGAAAGAAGTGATATAAATAGTCATGATTTACCTATTTTGCAACGAGAAGTTGCGTTACATTGTGTCCCATTAGCGTAAAAATGTGTCAATTACGATCATGTGACAATCACATGCCTCGTAAGTCGTGCGGTGAAATCAACTTAAATGACGTCTTATAATAAGCGGGGTCCCAGCTTTGACAATATCATAATAAACGATATTTTTTTGCTTAGTTAAAGAAGGAAAAAATTGGTACATGGGAAAAATATCATAAGAACCGATATATCGATCATAACAACTGATACCATAATAAGTGGGTTCCACTGTATACATCTATATCAGATTGGTCAGAGTATAGCTACATGTACATGGATAATAGCAAGATCGATCAAATATATATATATAGGTTTATATATGTGTATTCAGAAGCTATATCAGCCATGTGACATTTATATACTGTAGGTACATATACAAGTGTTAACTTGAAAGGTTTTTTATTCCGATTCATTAGATATATCACATTTGATCTAATAAGTGCCCCATCGTTTCTAAGCACCACTTTGTCCCTTGGATCCCATCACTACTATAAGCTTTAACACTTTTGAAAATATTAAGTACAGGCTGTATAGCATTTTTTTTTTTTAAATGGAGGTTTCACATGCTAAATTTCAGAGTTAGAATATTAGAAGCACCCAGTGTGGTTATCAGGTAAAAGGCGGTAGTTAACTAGTACATATACATGTACCACTTTATAAAACGAAACAAAATTCACTCAGCACTCAGCGTTAGTGGTATGACCATCAGTGTCACTAAATATTGGCCTGTATGTCTAGTTCACTCCAAAACTACATACATGTATGATATTAACATTAATGTTAATTTGTTTAAATTATATCTCATGTCAGATGAGCAGTCATAGGTATGCAAATTAAATAGTTTGGCTCTATGTACTACGTGTAGACTGGCTATACATATTGTAGCTACATCTGCTCCAAATCGTGGCCACAGATATATATGTAGCTGACAATAGACAGATTGTTCTGAATCCTAATCAGTATATGTATACAGACGTGTACAGCTCTACCAGGAAATACATCCCCACAGAATGCATGAGTCATTCATTGTTAAACATACATTACAGTCCTCAACCCTAGACTTCACAGCAATATAGGCACAAAAACCACAACCTTCAACAAAGTTAAAATCACAGCCTACAATACATGCATCATCTTCAATATATACATGAAGATAATTAATAGCAGCCTTCAATACATGCATCATCTTCAATATACACATGAAGATAATTAATCGCAGCCTTCAATACATGCATCATCTTCAATATATTCATGAAGATAATTAATCGCAGCCTTCAATCCATGCATCATCTTCAATATATACATGAAGATAATTAATCGCAGCCTTCAATACATGTATAGGCATCCATAATCAGAGACTTCAATATATAGGCATACTCCAATCCTTCGACATACTGGGTTGGCATAAGTACAGTCTTCAATACATATAGGTATAATCCAATCCTTCGACATACTGGGTTGGCATAATTACAGCTTTCTATAAGGTATAATTACTATATTCGATATAGGCCTAATTACAATATTTCATCCAGGCTTTCAAGACAAAATTCAAAGATATTTTTGCAATTGTTTAAACCCAAGCTTTTGGAATTGTATAGGGATCAAGAAATTCTGTTGTTTTCAGCACAGATATCATTTTCACACATCCTAAAACATTCATGAGATTTAAAAAGAATTAAGTTATCTTTTCATGATAAACGGAGTGAATAACACAAAACTTTCAAATACAGTCCTTCATGGAAAAATACATGTACATTTTCTCCAGTGCGTACGTATATTCCAACACTTTTTGAGGAATAATGAGCAAAATCCAGCACTTATCCAATATACACAGAGTCGGCCGTACTTTTCAGTATTGACCTCATGATCATGATTAATTTCAGCACTTTCCTTGATCTGTATGAACCATGATATATACTGTAGAAAAGTATATAACCACAGCTTACCATATCACTGTAAGCAGTAAAACAAAGCTTTTGTGAAATTCAATTTTAAACACACCGTTCTCGTATGTATTTCAAACTTCCCTCCTGCACAGAACTAAATACTCAGATTTTGAAACAAAAAGAAATACACAAATAATATCAGACTTTCTTTGTTAAATGCATGTAAGATGCTACATGGTACCTTTGCTAATTCGTGGCTCCTCCATGAGAACATTAATATGTTACTTGGCCAGTGTCCTGCCGTGGTCTGATCATCAGGTGAATGGTGATATAACCATATACACACCTGACAAGGACACTCCCTCCCAGTCTGTCATTACTCACTCTCAGATGCTCACACAAATGTCTGTTGAATATACGCGACCTGTCCCGCCCAACACTAAATCCTGCCCACATGTATATGCTTACATGTACATTGTACATATAAATACATCACTCCAACATATAGGAATGTCAGGCCCACGCTCAAAGATCAAAATATGCATAAAAACAAAAACTTACCGTCTCTGTACACAAAACAACTTAACAAGAGGTCCAAGGGGCTTAAATGCTTTATTGACACAACTAAACAAAAGGTCCAAGGGGCCTTAATGCTTTATTGACACAACTCAACAAGAGGTCTAAGGGGCCTTAATGCTTAATTGAGTCACAACAACTCAACATGAGGTCTAAGGGGCTTTAATGCTTAATTGAGTAACAATAACTCAACAAGAGGTCCAAGGGGCCTTAATGCTTAATTGAGTAACAATAACTCAATAAAAGGTATCAGGGGTTTTAATGCTTAATTGAGTAACAATAACTCAATAAAAGGTCTAAGGGGTTTTAATGCTTAATTGAGTCACAACTAAACAAGAGGTCCAAGGGGCTTTAATGCTTAATTGAGTCACAACTAAACAGGAGGTCCAAGGGGCTTTAATGCTTAATTGAGTCACAACTAAACATAAGGTCCACGGGGCTTTAATGCCTATTTCAGACACAACTAAACAAGAGGTCCAAGGGGCCTTTATTCTTAATTGAGTCACCACTAAACAAGAGGTCTAAGGGGCTTTAATGCTTAATTAAGCCACAAAGATAAGCCAATCGCATGTATTTCTCACATCAAACAGAAATACCAGTAGTCACTAGACCATAGAATACGGTATTCAAAAAACATGAATGACTTTTATTAAGACAATGAGTATTTCATTATACTGTGTTGGAGGCGAGTTTCATTATTTATTGAAGGACAAAAATGTATTTTTACTTAAGTATGCTGAACAATTTAATCTTTCCTGGATGCTATCGTACTCATCAATTCAAAGGATACAGAAATGCACAGGTGAATATCAAGTTTCTATTTGAAAATCCTTATGAAACTGCACAGAAGTGAATCATAGTAAATCTGATATCTGAAGAACAGATACTATGTATCTGCCCTTTAGTGTATTTCCATAACACCTCACAAAGGTGTGAAATTAAATCAGTCACACACATTATTTTAACAGGTTTTACATTTTTTCGTAGTTATTCATAAACAAAGTAACAAGAGGCCCAGTTTCGCTCACCTGAATATTTAAGCAGTCATAGCAAAATATTCTCATTAAATATTATATTGCACTACAGATATTTCCCTCGCAAATTTGTCGGCTCCATCTGTTGAAACTACCAGCCAAATATTATTATAAGATTCTATACTTTTGGGTTATTCTTCAGAAGTTCTTTGACATATTTTTCCCTGTGACCTTGTAAGTAGGTCAATGTCATTTTTCTTCTCAAACTTTGTTAGCTCTATCCCAAAAAGCTACCAACCAAATCTTATGAATCCATTCCTTTTGGTTCTTCAGAACAAATCCTTTGAAATGTTGTTGACATCTGTGACCTTTAAAGTAGCTAGGTTGAGGTCATTTTCATTTGCAAACTTTGGTAAGCTCTATTCCAGGAAGCCACCAGGCAATTATTATAATTTTTTTGCCTTTCGATTATTCAGAAGAAATCATTTGATGTTTTTGACATATTTGACATAATGTTTTTGACATATTTGACACCTGTGACCTTGAAAGTAGGTCAAGGTCATTTTCATTCTTAAACTTTGTCGAGCTCTATCCCAGGAAGCCACAAGCCAAATATAAAGACTCTATCGTTTGAAGTGTTTGACACATTTGACCACTGACCTTGAAAGTAGGTCAAGGTCATTTTCGTTCTCAAACTTTGTTGGGCTCCTACCAACAAAGCTTTCAGTCAAATAGCATGGCTCTATGCCTGTTCGTTCTTCAAAATAAGTCATTTAAAGAGTTTGACATATTTTACCACTGTGACCTCAAAAGTCAAGGGTTATTTTCATTCTCAATCTTTGTCAGGCTCTATCCCAGGAAGACACCAGCCAAATATGAAGATTCTATACCTTTTAGTTCTTCAGAAGAAGTCGTTTGAAGCATTTGACATATTTGACCCCTGTGACCTTGAAAGTATGTCAAGGTCATTTTCGTTCTTAAAGTTTGTCAGGCTCATCCCAGGAAGCCATCAGCCAAATTTGAAGATTCTATACCTTTAAGTTCTTCAGAAAAAGTTGTTTTAAGTGTTTGACACATTT